ACTGATTTTGTTCATGGGCTGACCTTTACTCTGGCAGCTTCTTACTGAACTTTCTTTCATATATGTAGTTTTTAAATTTTTTTTTTTCTGTGTGGGCATGACAGAGCTGTCTCTTGAGGTGGCAGAAAACACATCTTGCCTCTTAAGGACAGGTAGGGAAACCTGCACATGGCATAGGGAGATTTGCTGTGGATGGGACAGCACTGGGTACAACCCAGTGCTGTCCCAACCCAAAGTCGCATCCACTGGACCACACACTTAGCTCCTTTTTTTTTTTTTCTTCTCCTCCCAAACTAATCCCTCCAGCCCCTTAGGCTTTTTTGTTGTTGTTGTTGTTGCTCCTCTCTGAATTCCTTCTAATTTGCAGGCTTGCTGCCAGCATCCAACGCGCTATAAAAAGGGGACTTGTTCTTCAAGCTTCCCTCTGGTACAGAGCGTTTGCACAAATAGCAACATGCTTGACAAGTAGGTCTCATTCCCCCTGCTATTACCAAAATGCTCGTAGGGTGCTCCGGGAGTAGAGCTGCTGTCTCAAGACACGCTAAGCTGAATTTCACACAGGGCCCCGAGCCCAATTCCCAGCCGGTGTTTAAGCTCCTGTCAGCTGGAAAAATGGAGCTGTGCATTTTTATTTTCCTCCCCATGCAGCTTCCCTCTCTCTCCAAGAGCGAGCGGATGCTCTTGCATCCCTCCCTATCCCACCAGCACAGGTGGGATGTGGGCTGTGGCTGCAGTCCCATGTCCTGCTGAAGGCAGCCCCAGGGCCACCACCAATTTTTGGCTGGTCCCCCCCGCCACTGTTACAAGCAGCCATGACAGAAACCCCCTGCCAGCTTCCTTCTTCAAACTAATGAGCTGTTTGACCCTGGCAAGTCCTCTGGGAAAGCTGTTGCCAGAGCCTTGCTGCTCACACGGATACAAACTGCTCTCATTTCCAGCTTAAATTTATTTGTGGATGACTCGTACCCATTTGGCCTTGTTCTTCTTGTACCCACACTGGCTTTTAGCTTGGATGGCTCCTTTCCCTGCTCTGGTATTTATCCTCTGGCAGGCTTTGCCAAGTGCTGTGGGTCTGCCAACCTAAATAACCCCAGAGCTCCTGGTGGAGCATGGCTGGGAGGGGTGTAAGGGCATCTAGGCTTCCTCATTCCTGCAGTGAAGACAGCCCCAGCAGCTTGATTTGCAGCTCCCCCATTGAAAAGGAAAATCCACCATGCTGCTTCTCGACATCCTCTCTGGGGATGGTCCCAGCCTGCAGAAGGACAGCCATCCTCTCTGCTGACAAAGGCTCTCCAATTTGAAACCATTATCTAATTGCATTAGCACACTTCTCTTTTGCAATGCAAATGATGTTTTGGCAGAAGATGAGCTTTTTTTTTTCCTGGTGCAGCCTTCAGTAGCACCTTTCCCTCTCCTTTCAGGTAGTGCCAGGGCTCGTGTTCCTGGCCTTGCTAATCTCAGCCCTGGTGTTGTGGAGCAGACATTTCGCATGCACAGCTGTGCCAGGCACTTTGCTCCAAGGCTGAAGTGGATTTAAAATGTCAAAGTTCATCTGGTCAAAATACACACGTGGCTCCTTACCACTGGTCCCTTTCGGAGCTGTAGGACTATGCAGGATGGTGTGGGAACAGCTGCAAGGTGTTTGCTTTCCCCCCAGGATGAAAATTTTTCACCATACTTTTCACTGCTGCACCTTTGCCATGGGTTTTCTTTGCCTTTTATGTGCTTTCTTTGGGACCTCAGTGTTTATTTCTGGTGATGCTGAGATGCTGCCTTATCCATCCCAATTTAGACCTCTGCCTTCACCTCAGCAGGTGGAACTTGTACCTTTGATGGAAGGAAGGAAGGATGCTCCAGTGCCATCAACCATCAGATCCTTATTTCCTCCAAGTTTCCCTTTAGTTAAGAACCTTTTTTTTCTTTTTTTCCTTCTCTCCAGTCTAAACTGCACCAGCGTGTGTCCATGTGAGGCAGGATTTCATATTCCCCTGCAGTGTCCTTCCATCATTCTGTGCCCTCGTTAAACCACGCGTAAATTGGCATCATGAAGGAGGAGCCGGCCTCTGCGGTTATTAGCAGGATTATTCTCATCTCCCAGTTTCCAGTGAAGCTGCTGGGCTGGTATAACACAATTCCCACTGACCCTCATCTCTACTGTCAGGGAGAGTGATGCTGATGGGGCACTGAGCATCAGCAGCAGATACCAGAAGGAAACCAGCAGACCCCATTGCATCTTTCCACATTAAGTGATTTTTGACCCCCAGCTCCTCTCCTCCAGGCAATGGCTGTTTAGCACATCATGTTGGGCATTAACTTCCCCTCCTGAATCTTTTCTGAGCAGCCCGTGGGCTCCTTCACAGCTGCAGCTCCAGCACAGGAGTGCATCACACCCTGTGCTCATCTCTGGGTTCGCTTTGTGCGTCGCATTTTCTCACTGCCTAAATCAGCATCCACAGCCTCCAGCACTGAGAGTGGGTACAGCTGGGCATTTTCTGCCTGCACTGGATCTTCCTTGTTCCTCTCTCCCTATTTATTTGATTTCTCACTGTATTTAAAGGAGAGGTCAGTGTGTGTTTTGCAACCTTCTCCTCCTGTTATTAATTTCTTAGAAACAAAGGGGAAGGAACCACAAGCAATAAAGAGCCTGAGGTTTGAGGACTGGCTATTTATTTGTCAAAGCTAGAAATGCAGTGACTGAAGAGGACAAGAGAAAATCCTCCATGCAGATGTACCTCATTTAAGTTTAGGCTTGTGTAGGTCAGATTTGGGGGGGTGTGGATTTCCTCCTGCTGCAGTTTTAGATGGAGCTGTTATCACTGCCATTACTGCAAATTTTAGTTTTGCCTTCTGCACCTCATTTTTTCACCCTGCAGCCTGACTTTCCTGCACCATGCCCATCTGATGCTGGGGAAGCTGTGGTGCCCATCTCAGTGGCATCATAGCACCCCATGCAGTGGGATTGGATTGCACATGGCTGATGGCAAATGGGTGGCAATAAACCAGCCCTAAGGGTGCAAAAGCTGCCAGGGAGGCTGGGACTGGCCATCAGCTGCCAGGAAGAGGGGATGAGGAGAAGCAGGGTGACTCAGATGCTGAAGCCAAAGATGCTCAAAAGCCCAAAAGGGACAAAAATAGGTGTCTGGGTCACTCAAGAGGGTTTGAGGACCACTTAAGATCTTTTCCCTCGGAAGCAGCAATTACCAGATGAAAGGGAATGTCTTCAAGCAGGCATTTTGGAGCATCTGGTTTGCATTTGGCACATTCACTGGGGGAAGCAGGGAAGGCTGGAAGGCTGCTGGGTGGATTGGTGGCTGGGCGAGGCAGATGGTGTCCTTCAGGGGATGAATCTGGTCGCTTACAAAAAGCATTTTGACACCAGGAGCATTCCCACATCTCTCCTCCTTTTTGGACTGTGCTGTCAATAATTTTCCAAAGCCTTTATGCTGAGTAAGGGCTGGATTTCTGCTCGTGGGAGGTTAAGGGGTGTCCCCACATGAAGTGGCAAATAGGGGGATGCACACATGGTTTTCTTTTTAGGTTTCACCCTTCTTCACTACAGAGGAAGCATTGGCATGTAATTACCACCAGCTTTAATCCAGCCAGACCAACTGCCTTTCTGGCAGACCCAAATACAATAGGAGCCAAAGGTTATTGCATGCCCTAAATAAAACCATTACAGCCCTGGGGCCTCACCCAAGCCCAGACCGCAAAGCATCCAGGACCGGCTCCATTCAGTTTTTCTGAGTCTGGAAGATTTGGTTTGATGGCAGTGACCCGTAACTTTTTTTTTTCTTTTTACTTTTTTTGTTTTTTACTTTTCCCCTGCAAAGCCACCTGCACACTTGAAACCACTGTGGCACCTGCCAGGAGCAGCACATCTGGCCAGCATTAGTGAGCCTGCCAGGGATGCACTTGGTTCAGTCTTTTCTTGCTAAAACCATTAGTGGCTTTAATTGAAAGCAGAGGTGGATGAAGGCACGTCACACAGACACACCACAGCATGCACAGCTCAGCACAGCACATGGCTGTGACCAGTGTCCTCTGAGACTGCTGCCAGATACAGCCCAATGTGCTGCCCATCCATGGGATGGACTGAGATTTCAGGCACCACATTAGGACCCATGTGGCCTGGAGTAGCCACCCAGGAGCCAGTGCATCCCACGCTGTGCTCTCCTCCCAGTCGCTGCTCCAAACTGGGATTTACTCTGAAACCTGAAGGGTTTTACTCTTTGTCCATAAGTAAATACAGCCCAAAGTGATGCAAATGCGTGACCTCACCCAGATCTCAAGAGGTAAATATTGCATCATGATGAGCATGCCCCGCATCCTTTGACCCAGTCTGAGACACTCTTGAGTCCATCCTGATGCAGGGGCAAGGCAGGCCAGGGAGGAGGTGTGTGGTGGGAAAGGCTTTCTCCTCACCTCCCAGTTTAATTATCGGTGTCTCATGTTTGCAGTGTGATGGACACTGGCCCTGCCTCTGTGCAAGGCTGCTCTGGCTCCTGGCATCCCCACAGAGCTGCTGGCAGGGAGAAATTGCATTTCACAACCCATCTTTCCAGGCTCCCACAAGATTACTGGAGGGAGAGGAATGTGCTGAAGAAAATATCCCAACTGCTGTTAAAAGGCACAGTTTTCCCTACCCCTTTCTGGGATGGCCATTCCTTCACTGAACCAGACACCCTCCTCCAGCTGGCAGCACCCACTGGAGCCAGCACTGTGTCACCTCCCCACATTACCCTGGGGTGTCTTTGCCCTCCTGGCCTCCCCTTCATGTGAAAATAATTGAAATTGTGATAAGCAGGCTCTTTTATGAAGAAATTCTGCTTTTCCCTCGCAGTGCTCCTGGGACAGAGCTCAGTCACTTTATATCTGGGCAATAAATCTCCAGGCTCTCTAGGGCACACCCGACACTCAAGGCAGTAATGGGCCTGCCAGATGCTGTTCTGTCTGGGTGAAGATCTCCCCAGCCAGTACAGCATCTGTTAATCATTTTCCAGGAGGGTCCAGGCAGTGAGGCAGTCTCAAGTTGAATCCCTTTTGGCCAATCCTTTTGAATCACGGTGAAGCTTTCTGGGCTACCTGGAGCTGAAACAACCTGTGAGCTGCAGCAGCCTGTGATCCTGGGCTGAGAGATGCATCCCAAACATCTCAGGAGGAAGGTGAGCAATCTTTCTCCTTGGTCCTTTTTCTAAGAGGTGTAAAATCCTCACCAGGCCAAGGCTAAGGTAGCCCTTTTCCTTGATCCCACTCATCTGCTGTTGCTTCAAAATCCTGTGAGCATCAGATGATGAGATGTGGTCCTGGGCAGTGAAAAGCAGTGGGGAATCTTGAACTGGTTTGCTGTTGAGTCATTTCCTCCTGGGTGATGGCATATGGACAAGGCTGTAAGCAGGGATGGCTTTCTCTAATGTTTCTTCTCTGTTGAGTCTTCTTTCAATATTCCACAATCCCAGACCACGCAATTTGCCTCCAGCAAGTAAAACACCTCCAGGTTCTCCGCAGAAGATACTGTTGCATCTGGGGGCGATGGTTGGGCTGTTGCACGCGTTCTGATTTCTCTCCTAGGCTAATTACAAGCCTCTTGGACTCTCTCAGGTGGCTTTGGCAAGTGCTCTGCTTTTCTAGTGCCAGTGCCAGGGAGCCCTGACCACAGCCATCAAATCTTTCCCCAACTATTCGAAAGCAGTTACGCTCCTTGTGTGTCTTTTCATTGCCGGAAGCTGGTGAGTGGATGGATCCTACACAAATAAACTTCTGGAGGGCAGAGAGTCAAAATATCCCTGGGCTTGTTTGGTGGGAAAAGGTTAACCAGCGTGAAGTCTATGAATTGCTGCTGACCCGACTTTGTTGACAAAATATAGTTATTAATTGGACTTGCAGGCAAACTGCCTGGGGCTGTTTAGAAGGAACTTGTCCATTGCAAGGGCTGAGATCTCCCTGGGAGAAGATCTGCCTAGGCTCTTTAGAGATGTGCCTAGGCCTTGGCCATGGCTCTGGTTTGGGGTTTTGTTGTTGAGGATAAGATGTGTCAGGGTCTCAGTCGTCCACACTGGCCATGGGGCCACAAAGATTCACCAAGAGCAGAGCTGTAGCAGAGGAGGACAGGAGGAGCCTGTCAAGATGCCTCAGACCAGGTGACTGAAATGGTCTCCTGATCTACAGGAAGATCTCCTTGCTCATTGCAGGAGTAAATACTGTTGGGCTAGACGGCATTTGAAGTTCCTTTCCAACCCAAACCATTCTGTAATTTTTGTGATGACTCTGATGAGGCTCTTGGGTCCCTAAATTCAGAGTTCTGCTCTCAAGCTGAATCCTATATAAAGCATCATTACCTGGACAGGAACTTGATGATGAAGTTCTGGAGTGTGACCTGTGCTGCTCCCAGTGTGCTCCTAAATTCCAGCAGCAGTTCAATGCTGCGTTGACACTGATGACACTCAGTGTCACTCGACCCTCAGCCCAGTGGCTTATTTTTGACTGTGGCAGAGCAGTGGTCAGTGCATGGGTTCCATCACAGCCTTTCAGCCACCATCATGGCAGCTCCAGAGCTGGCTGCTCCTCTGGTGGCTGGCGAGTTCCTTCACAGCATCTCACGGCCCTGCGTGAGGAACAGCTTGTTTCCCTCAGCCTGGGAGCGAGCAGAACACTCGTGCTGGCGCCGGCCCAAGACAGAAGCTTTGGGAATCCTCCTCGACAGCCTGACAGCAAATGCTCCTCTCCAGCAGGGCCGGTGCTGGGAGGCTCCCAGCAGCAAAGCCCATCCCGGTGCAGGAAGAGCTCGCCTTGGGCTGCGAGGTTTCCTGCACCTGCGTGACTGAACGTGCTGGAAAGCACCTTCCATGCCTGCCAGAGTGGTGGAAATGCAGCTGCGAGCAGATAAACATGCCTGTGCCTGTCCTGCCGTCCTTTGAGGAGGGGGGTGGCACCTAGTGGAGGTGGGCAAAGGGGCCCACTTTCTCACTTTCCCTAAAAAGCTGACAGTTGCCTCCTAGGTGAGATCAGCCACATCCACATGGAGCCTCATGCAGGTTAACTGTGCTCCTCAAACGTCGCCATGTGCCTGTAGCCCACAGATGAAGCCACCTCCCTGGGATGCTCAGCCTTGTCTAATTCAAGTTGGGCCATGCAAACATGACCTGGAAGAGCTAATGGGAGCAAGATCCATTTGCTTGTTCCTCTTGTGCAGCCCCTGGACATAGTCTTGCCCAGGCTGAAGTGGCCCCAGGGATGAAATGGTCCATCCAGGCTGGAGTTCAGAGCAGCTTGACCGTTCCCTGAGCAGCTGTGGCAAGCAGCCCACGTTTCACAAGTGGGGTTTTCCCATCAGGCTCTCCAGCTGCTATAAATAACAGGAAACGTTTTGTCGTTTTCTGCTCCAGGGAAGGTCAGGAGCTGGATTCTGTGGTCTTTGGAGCTTTAATAAGGTTGGAGATTTATGCAGTGTACCCAGAACTCCCCTGAGACATCTTGCCTGAGGCTGTTTGGCTCCTTGGATGGAGAAGTCCTGAATGCCAGCCTTTGACAAAGTTGCCATAGCTGCCCTTTATGAGCTGTCAGGTCCTGCTAAATCCTTAATGTGCTCTTCATCTCCAGGCCAGATGCTAACTCTTGGGTTGCTGCCGAACCAGCTCACGAGAGGTTTGAACCATCCTCTGTCAGTGGTAGGAAAAGCTTCCACCGTGGATCCCAGGATGGATGGATCTAGGGACACCAGCCACTGGTCTCATGAGCTTGCGGGGAGCTCATCCTCATAGAATCACAGAATGTGCCCTTGTGAGATCCCACTTGGAGAACTGTGCCCAGGTCTGGAGTCCTCAGCACAAGAAAGACATGGACCTGTCAGAGAGGGTCCAAAGAAGACTACAAAAATGATCAGAGGGCCTGGAGCATCTCCTCGTGGTTGCAGCAGGATGGAAACCCAGCAAATCAAGTGGGAAGATCCATCCTCAGGGGGTTGCTCAGACATCTAGACAGCTTTTCTGGGTCCTGGAGAGCCCCAAGCTCAGCTCTGCACTGCCTGCCGCCCTAGCAGCCACGCAGGGAGGAGGCAGAGCCCTGTCTGCCGCCTCTCCCATTTCCCCAGCAGATGCAGGAATGCTTTGATGTCCACTTCCCCAGCCCCAGTGCCCAGCAGCAGGATTAACCACCAGTCAGATGTCTCCATCGACTCCAAATAAATCTTCTAAACTCAGACAAGCACCACTCAGAGGGGTCCCAGCATTCCCCTCTTGCAGAATGAGGGTTAAAAGTAGTTTTTTTCCCTTGCACCTGCCCCTCTGAAGCCAAGGCTGTGTTTTATTTTTAAAACTCAGGTTTCTTGGTGGTTGGTTCCTCTCCTGGGGTGTACAGGCCAGGGACAAATAGAAAAATTGACTATCTCAGTGGTACCAAGGTGAGCAGTGTGGAACGTGCTCACATGGGTTGGGAGAAACTCTTCCCTCCCCCCAATCTCTTCTTCCTATAACCAAGACAGAAATGCAGCTCTAGGGATGATCCTTCAGAAAAATACTGAATTTTTCTCCTTTTTGCATGTTTATGAAAGTGTTTTATTTGTCTCTAAGGGGTTTTTGGTCAAAGTTAGCATGCCCTGTGCAGATCTCTGAAGCCTGGCTCAGTCCCACTTAAATGGTTTCAGTGAGGCTGAATTATTTTTTGTTAAAGCCCATGTGTTTACATTTCATAAGCTTATTTTAAAACACATGTGTATACAAGAGCAGGCTTATTTATATGGCAGATTGGCCTGCTGTGTCCTTACCTGACTTAAGTGTCAAGGAAGCAGCTTTTTTTAACTTTTTACAAGCACAGTTTAAAATAAAATACTGGTTTGCTGTGCGCCAGTGAATCTGCCCAAGAGAGGAGGTCAGGACAAGGTCTTGTTTTCCAACTGTAAAATGTTATTTTGCTTATTTACAGAGCTTCCTCTCACCAGCCATCATTTTAGGTTAGTATGTTAACAACAGCTATAGGTAAAAAAAAAAAAATGGTTTATGTTCCCCAGAGTCTTGGCAGGCCAAAATCCCCAAGTAGCCAGGCTTCCCAGTGAAACAGCTTTTGGGAACTTTCCATCAGTAAAGCAGGATTTGCTGGGTGATCCATTCTACCCAGGTTCTTGGCAAGATTTCTGATTTCAAGTACCCCAGGGAAATACTTGAGAAAAGCCTTTGTGGAGAGATCTTGGCATTTTCTACTTGCCCTGGAGGAAGGATTTTATTCTTGGTTTTAATCATACGAACTGGTAACACACCAGTCCAGCTGCAGGAAGGTGAGGAACATTTATGGTGGTGCAGTTCAGTGTTGGATTGTGAGGAGATGTGTGTGAACCTTAAAGCAGGATGGGGAGGATGAGGAGAGCCTCAGGGAGCTACGAATTTACACAAAAGCAAAGGGAAGCTTTGACTGTAGGATATAAAATTCATCTTTCACAAAGATTGAGAAGCCCACATGTGGTTTTTATGCCTGTGCTTGGAGAACTTTTCCTGCTTTTATCAGGCTTCCACGTGGGGCTGATGGATATGGACATGAAGACCTAGGAGGTAATGAGAGAAGTGTTGACATTTACACCCAGGAGAGAGCTGGAGCAGACACAGAGTGAGGAATGGTTTTCCATCCAGAGCAGCTGTAAACCAAAGCCCTGACCACTGGTGGTTATTTAAAGACTCCAGCAGCGTTTCCTGCCATGGGAAGGTGCTTGGCCCACGTTCAGCCTGGGCGACTGCTCTCTGCAAAGCCAAATAAACAACAGCCACTTGAACTTTCCACCTTGCAGGCTCAGCCAGATGCCTCATCCTGGGCCATGAGCAGGCACTGCACCTCAGATGGGCCTTGTGGATGAGCCTCTTTGGAGGATTCAGAGTGATCACCACATTTTGGGGTTGAGGGTGCATTTCCTGTGTCTGAAGGACCCTAGTGAAAGAGTTTGGTGCAGTTTGGAGCTGAGAGAGGGCATTTGGGAAGGGAGATCTGTGTCTCCATGCAGAGCCGTGTCCTTCAGTGACCTTGGGCAGGGCCAAGGGAGGAAATTATATCCTTTAACTCTAGAATTGTACTTTAGATGCTCCATCTCCTCAGAGTAGCACAGTTCAAGTAGCCAGGACCAGGAATCTCATCATCCAGGCATGGTGCTAATGCGTGGCTGCAGGGACCATCTGTTCTACAGGAT